CAGAATCGATATTTTTGCTTTTTAATATCAGATGTCAAAATTCTCGTGTGAATCCAGTACTAGTGTAAGAAAGTCGTAAGACAGCTTGGAAACAACAAAAACATGTACAACAGCAATAATTTAAGATAGTTGAGAAGTCAATGAACATGAACTCATGCCGTGTGAATAACGAAACTTTAAATTATACTTTTATATTGTTGATCTGGGTTTATCTGAAACTAAATTATTTTATGTAAATATATGCACATAATGCTGACTATAGAGCATTGGTTACATTTATTTTTTGTGTTTCAATTAACTACTTTTATTGTTGTAGTTAAAAATATTATTAAAAATAAATATGAAGCCATTGTGTACATGTGGGCAATTGGTGGAGTAGATTTCCACTTAAAACTGGGTGATGAAGGAGCAGCGACAACACCAGCAAAACCAACAACAACAACAATGACGTACGCGATTTTCAAAGAGAATTTAACGAATCAGTGAGCAATAATTAATTAAGCATTAATAATCTTGCTTTTCTCATGTTGCTTAATTTTTAAACTAAATCCCTTTTACCTGCATAATTTTACATTGTTTACATTGTGTCTATTTTAAATAACAACCAGAGATGCCCCACCTCAAAGCCGTCACTATGAATGCAGCAACAATCACAACACGTGCTTGTACTACGTGTTCACTCACTTATTTACAAATTGCGTCATACCTATGGTACACGCAAACACAGAAAAGGACACAGCATCCCTGAAAAAAGGCAGTAATGCATGCATCATCCTTTGACTACGACTACGACTACGACTACGACTACGACTACGACTAGTAATTTTAAATGTAAGAATCTCTATGTGAGATGGACTAGATTATTTTAGCAGCGTTTACTTGTGCATTTAATGCATTTCTGGGACGAGTGTATTTTTGTACTCTATATTTAGACCTATTAAAATTATTAGTTCATAAATGACAGAAACGCGTTATTAATATCAGAATTTTTATATTATGCCACCTATTACTGAAAGGCGTTTAGTAGGTGTGACATTACATACCATACAAAAAAAAATTTTATACCCACAAAAGAATTAAGGATTAAATTTATCTCTGGTTTCAGGCCAGGTCATGCTGGAAATTAAATAAAAAAACCTAACCGATAAATTCTGTTCTACTCCGTTTGTATTCGTAATGTCCAAGTCCAACTTTTTCGCCATTTTATAGGTGCAATAGTTTATGTATATGTATATTATATATTGTGGGACGTTGAAACAGCGCACCGTACAGTAAGTGGCCCCACTGAAGTGAAGGATTACCCGAAGTAAACCACGAAACGACTTCGGTCCTTTTCTGTTCTTCGATAGTTTATGTAACATAAATTAGTGAAAAAGTAAAAAAGTGGAAAAATCTTCTTTAAAAAGTTATAATTGTCGTCTGTAGCCGTAATATTTTCTTTTAGAATAGCAATATTCGCAACTTACGGAAGCAACTAATTTACTTAAGGAAGCAACAACAATACTCTTAGGATCTTCAGACTTAGGTTTTACTTGCCAAAATTTTTACGCCTTAAGATTAAATAATAATGGATCAATGGATAAATAATTATTACATTCCACTAAAGAAGAATAAAAGCGTTTACAATCTAATAAGCTTCTGAGCATATTGTATGTTCTATTTAATCTAGTTGGACAATTTAAAAAAGGTCTTTTAACATTAGTGTTCTTAAACTTCAATATAAGTGATGGAATTCGTCATTTTTTACTAGTCCTTTAGCATTTATAATTAATTCATTGAATTGATCGTATTCAATAGCACTTTTTATTGCTATTTCCGAAAATCATGCTATCCATCTAAGTCAGGGCTGTCCAAAGTACGACCCGCGAACCGCATCTGACCGTATTTTTATTTTTGGCGAAAACAGCCATGTATTTGTTTGTATTAGCCCGCGGTCTGGACAGCCCTGATCTAAGTGATTATTAGATTCAGTTTCAGCTTCAATAAGAGAATATTCTTCTATTTCCATTTCTAATGTATTTACGAAAGAAATCATATTTGCTCCATTATCGGTAGTAATCGAATTTTATATTTCGATTACTATATATAGTAATTTTATATTTTTCTAAGACTTTTTCGACAATATTTTTGATGTAAGTTCCCGTATGTTTATCTATCAATTCCATCATTCCCAACATAAACAAATTTATTTTACCATCTAGTACCAACTGTGCATTGATTCCCAAAATTGATTCATTTAGTCGAGTAGCTATGTCAACTTTTAAAGAAATCATTTTTTTTATCATAAATTGTGCATATTTTAGTTATTACCGTCTTAGGCTGCAGTAACTATTTTGTGCTACTGGTAACAGTTCCGAAATAGAAATATTGCATTACCGGATATACCAGTATGTTATAGTTTACTGCTTTTATAGAAGTAGTGTCAATAGATGTTATGTCCAAATATATAACGTATTAAACACATTAGTATAAAGTTATAGAGAACAGTCTATGTCAACTAGTTTTAATTTCAATTTGAAAAAAAGGGTTGGATTAAAATTTCTTTATGTTTCTGAGTTTAAATAATGCACCAAAAGAGAAAATTATTATAAAGTAAGGGAGTGAGATTAATGCTTTCTATTATTTTCAATTGTAACATTTTATATCTCACTCTGAAGTATATAAGAAGTGCGTGAAATGGAAGTTCTAACTTATCTGCACAGTCAGCAAAGGTAATGATGGTTGCTTTTAAGTTTAAAAATTATATATCATTAATTTGATCACCATATATGACATATAAAATATCTCAGAAATTTTTCTTATTTATATAAATTGAACTTAGTAAGGTTGTTCTATTAAATCCGTGATTTATCTGACATGCTCAATTGAATATACGAAATACTTCAAACGTATCGTATTCTCATTTTTCTCAGGATGGTTATACCACAGTTAAGGAAGAGCAGATACAAAGCGTTTTCAATCACCTTTCATTTTCATAAAATCGTCTCCTAATACTAACGAGTATAAATCAATTCTAGATGATTAATTTTTTTCTAAAATTGCAAATATATAGTCATGTATTTTTTAATTTATTCTTATAATTAAATACATTAGTTTCTCTTTATTTATTATGCACATTATTAAGAATGTTTATTTAATATATATATATATTTATCATACATAGTTTTACACAATTATTATTGATATATTTAACAATGCCTATAGTTTTGTATTTTAAGAAAAAAATTCAAAGAAAGAAAGAAACTATAAAAACTGACTACTTAAGCGAAAGACCAATTAACAACTCTGCTTACGACAAAACCGATTCTTTACAAAGACTTCAAGCTTTCTGAAGCTCACCTTACACGTGCCTTCAGCGGCCTTTCGTGAGAGTGAGAAGTTGTTAGATCTCTCTTGCATGATCGCTGTAGATATCTCGTGTAAAGCTCGCCCCAAAATTCTTGGTTTGATTTGCCCGTTAGGAAGTCAATGCTAATATGTAACTATATCCATTTAATGAAAACCAAATTATTTACATGGATTATTTGCAGTCTTTTATAGTCTGTTAGCAGAGGTTAATATTAACTACTTACATTTTTTTAGATAATTAATAATAATTAATTAAGAAATTATATATGCGTTTAATTATATGACATTATTTTTATTAGCAATAGGAATCAATATTAGCCTTACTAATTTTAGACTAAGATATATGTGTATATATGTGAGAAGTGACTAATATATTTCTTTCCCGTTCAGATAATTAATATCACTTCATATCATATCATTTCAGATATGACATTGTTTAAATATGCTTCTTCCTGAATAATTAATATATCACAAAACGTGGATTTATATGACTGTCAATTATTAATGAACAGATATAGTACTCATATTTTATAAAATCTTCAACATATGTTTTAAATAGGTTGACAGATTTATTGGATATATATAATATAAATTCGAATAGAAAGATTGTCATAATTTATAATTATAATTAATTTACTTAATCACAAGCATCTTATCGAAACTGGGATGTTGTTATACTTCACAAAATACAAGTTACCCATTCAATAAATCAAGTCCTTATGTATATAGTTCTAGGTTAGAAACTGTTACTTTCTTGTCACGCAAAGCAAAACCCTGTTAGCTGGAGTGCCAGACGGCAGTAGAGTAGCTGCATTATTTATGTAGAGCAGTTGCCCTATTCATTAACTTAGTTTCTGTTTCTTTTTTCTATGTGTATTTTCTTTGTTTTAAGGACTTTGATTAGGTGTAACGCTATAGTTTTCTAGTTCTTCTCCTTTGCTGTCATCTTTTTCACTATATCTTTCGAATTTATTTGTCTAATACTGACTTGTAACTCTTCTTTTGGTATGTGTGGGTAGATCCGTCTTGCTCATGCTATTTATTGAATATAATAGTAATGAGTATTCTAATGAAACTTTGGGAATTAAGAGTGATAAATAGAGCAAATAAGACAGCAGAACAACATAGATAACACAATGTAATGAGACAAGATAAACAAAGTAAATTTGAATAGCTTCAGCTTGTATATATACAGCATGTTAGTTTCAGTGTTCTCAAAATATAGTCTTTATCAGGAGTAGCAAAGGCGCTATATCTATTGCTAGTTTCTTACATAATTGATTTACCTTAAATTTATTTATAAATTATGTACTTCAACTGGATAAATAGTTCATTAATTATTGCATTATAACTGAGCTTATCATATAAAATATAATGAATACGATCGCACTTTTACCGATCTAGAGATAAAAAAGTGGTGTTGATTTTCATATTAAAAATGCTCACTTTATTCAAAATTCGTTAAGCTTTCAAACATTTTCATAATGTTTACAATTTATTTATAAATATTAAAACATAACTTAACAATATTCCGATACAAAATAATAAAATAATAAACCTAAATTAAAAATGTATGTAAAATTAACAAAGATGTAATGAAATTCAAAATAATAATATTATTAAACTGTTCTAAATTTTTATATTATTACTCAATTACTTTTACAAAATAAGAACTTACACTAGATATACTATAAGTAATTGCAAAAATAAATATGCATTAAAACTATTGCTCTAAGTTTTTTGGAGATATTGTGAGCAGATCATGTTTCCATGCACCTTTCCTCCAACACGATATTTAGATTTCATAAAAGAAGTGATTTTTATAAATGTCTAAAATAAGTCATTCCTAAAGAACAGGTTTTTATTTAATTACAAAATTAGCATAAAAATAATGCCTAAGACTTGGAAAAGTAGAATCAACTTATTCCAAATTTAACTGTAGAAGTCATCATCAAAGTCCCAGTCACTGAATTGGGAGTCCTAGTTCAAAATAAATTAGCAGAATTTTATACATATAGTTAATTATTACTTTATAATTATTTATATTCTCTACTTACATAGTCATCGATTTGTTCTTCTGGGTAGAGGGTCGGGGAACAAGCCATATAAGAAACTCCTGTATTATAACCAGAACACTCGCATGTCTGATTTAAATTTGGTACTGCACTTTTAGCAACTCGTTTTGCGAAAATTGTGCAAAAACGTTTGACTAAATACTTAACGTTCATCTTAAGCCTATTAGCACTAAACACAGAACCATTGGTTTCAAGCGCTAATGGCCGGCAGATTCCTAGATCACTTCTGGGAATATGTAGTTGGGCACGTGTAGACGCATCTCCTTCGGGGAAACGTTTCGTAAAAACTAACTCCCGATCTAAACCGAAGAAGTGACGCAGTTTGCGTGTTTTTTCAAACTCAAATTCAGTATCTGCTAATATATGTAGGTTGACACCTTCCTCCATCAAATATTGTAATATGGATGTCGAATCGAAACGCATATGATGTGCTGCACAATCACCACATGTCATTAAAATAATTGTTTTAGAAACACCAGGTCTAAAATCGAGCTTTGTGGCTACTGACACGGCTTGTAATACATCGTTATTGAGTCCTTGATAAATTTGAATATGATTGAAATAGCTTTCGAGTTCATTAAAGTCATTAGTAAAGACACGATTTTCACGCGATATACTCATTGGCTTGTCAAATGGAGCACGCCCACCAAATGCAACAACAGCATAACTACAAGTATGAAGACTCAGTTTTCGTAAAATTGAAGAAAGTTGATGCTTAACTTACCGATTATTTACTATTTTGTTAGCCTGTAATTGCTCCTCTAGTGTGGAAACTAGTGTCATTATATGCTTCGACTCAGTTAAGTTGGCGTTACAAGATTTGGCTTCAATTACGAAGACAATATCACTGCTACGTGTTACGTTTTCGTTAGTAAGTTCTACAAATGTACCTTCTGGCACATATGTACCATTTGAAAGTTGGCAACTGAAGAAAAAAAATTGGTCATTTTAAAGTGTAAATTTCAGTTTTTAGCAATATCTTAAAAAGTTGGAGATTTCTAACTTACAAGACACATTCGTCTGGCACTCTCATTGGCACTTTAGCTGCTGTGCAAGCCTCAATGTACGCTAATGCGGCAGTGCAGACACCCTTCACCGCTGGATGTCCCGGACGTATGGATGATGATTTTTCACCCATCTCTAAACACATATCGAAGAATGGCGTTGCATCTACTGTGTCAACACAAGCTGATAAAATACCAGATTTGAAGAAATGGTTGCATAATTCGTTTATATTTTCATTGGTATTCAGCTGAATGGATTCATTTTCTTCTCTACATGTACGCATTGACCATGAGGAGGTGAACTCATATTCACTTTTCGCTATATAATTTTTCGACGTTAAGTATTCATCGAAATGCTCATTATTCATGGTACCCAATAAGCCAGCGGTTTGACCAAAGTACCATCCACTTAATTCAAACCAGCACAAGTCAAACTCTAAATTACAGTGCAGATTGAATTCAGTTTCTGAATATATAGAGAGTATATTGTGATCTCGGAATATAGTTACTTCGCCAAGTTTAATAGGCAGTAAAGGTTTGTCCACATCATTAACAATTAGATTCTGGATTTTGAAAACAATTAAAAAATTAATTTTCATATTGTAAACAATCAAACTGAAACAACTTACGTCGTTTAAGAGATCTATTTGTATGACTTCTCCATTAGCTACTAATATAAGTTTCATTCCTTCTTCACCTGTATGGGTTGCATTCAACTGGAAGCAAACAATAATAGCAATAGTACTAGTAGTAGTATTTTCTTTAATAGCAATATATTTTTATTAATAAAGAAGAGTCATAGTTGACTTCTGAAATTGAATTTCAGAAGTCATAATACAATTATTATGAAAAAAACTAAGAAAAAATATTGTCCCATTTTTCGTTTCGCTTAAGTCATCGTAGAATAACATTGACACCCTTGTTATTCTACGATAACAAGGGTGCCTTGTTATCGTAACACCTTCCCAAATAAGAGAATTTACGTACATAAATAAATATATTAGTTAATCACTTTTCCCATAAGCCGTGACTTATAATCCTGTTCTTATTAAAAAGCACAACAATTGCTTCGGTTGTTATGTTTTAAGGGAAAAATAATAGAAAAGTTGAAATTTGAACAACGAAATTTTTGTTGATCTATAATAATGATATATAATAATAATAATGATATATAAAAATAAGTCAACATCTCGGTCTATTCCCAAACTAACTGTAAGGAATTACTTCGCAAAGCTATATTACTTACGGATGGTTCCAATAGTAATGTAAAGTTATTTTGTGCAAAATCGTTGGCTAACAAATATGAGCATTGTGTACTTCTCTGTTGTCCCTTGCTGAGTCCTACAAATTTCTTATCGAAAGTCATATAATGACGGAAGTCTACAAGTAATGCTTGAGCTGAAACAAAAATTTGCAGTAGAGTAGAAATAAAGAATATAAATAATTGTTGTAACTTACAGTAGTACGGTGGTAGCCACGTCTTCGGATCTAAGTTCGAGCGTAAGTTATATATATACTTGAGCAACGAAGAATTTGTTGTCGAGAAAATATTTTGTGCTTTTGCCAGAAGTTTATACTCTGGTATTTCCTCAAACTTAGGTGTTTCATTGAATGCATGCCAAGACATTGGCAGTTTCTGCTCCAAGTCTATAATACCCTCCTCTGGATCGAAAATAAATTTAGTTTTGGCTTCACGATACATATCAGCTGTTTCAATGGCATTCATAGCGTAATTTCGGATTTTATTGCGCACCAATGCATACAGTTGATGCAGACGAGTTTCAAACTGTAGTTCATTTAAGATCCACTCTAATTTCGCTATTATTTCATTATACTTCTCGATTACAATACGTACTTCATTGATATTCCTTAGCTCTTTAATTTCATCAAATATCTCTGTTAGAACTTCATTTAGTTCAGCCCCAAAAGGCACAAGCTTAAAATACTTTTCTTTGAAGAAGTTCCAGGCGATCATTGAGTACTTTTTGAAATTTGTAATTGCATCGTTTGATTGGATGTCTTTGTATAAATGTTCCACATCTTGTGTAAAGCTTGATACTTTATTAAAGTATGGAGATTCAGTTAATTCATTTGTTCGTTTATATATGAAATCAAATAATTCCTTGCTGAAGTCCCAAGCGGTGGCCTCAATTAAACTCATTGCCTTAAATACATGTGGTTCCAATCGCTTTAGAACCCCTCTCCAGTAATTTGACATCATAGTCCAAAATTTATTCCACAAATTCTCCACGTATTTTATAAAAGATATATGAAGGTCCTTCACAAATTTATCATATTTTTGTACACCTTTTTCTAACAGTGTTGATAAATACTGCAATGATTCTCCGTGGAAAAATCGACTAATAACATCCAAAATATTGTTGTAAGCCGTTTTAACAGTCTCAATCAACCATACAATGCTGTTGCGTAAAGCTTTTCCTGAATCTCCCATAGCTTGCAATATTTCAGTAAATATTTTTGGCAGTGATTCAATATGATCTCTGATTGCTAATTCATCCAAAATTGTAAGACTGAAGTTAACTACAGTTCTGATGTAGAAATCATTTGCCGAATAAGTTTGATTTATAAATGCCCGTAAATCTTCCAAGTCTTCTTCAAGTACACTCAACTCACCAATATCATTAATGAAGTGTTCATTATAATTCTTTGTCTTCTCCCAGACTACGCCAATAGCCTCAACTGTCTCGCTATAAAGTGATTTGATCCAAAAGTCAATTCCATCAGAGAATGAATTGTATAGAGAAGTGCCCACAGCATTAATTTTAGCCCGTAGCTCATTTTTCATCTTTGGTCTCCAATGAAAACGTCCAGTTATCAGACGTGAATGATTCATTTTGTAGTAACTGCTTACATCAATTATTCGTATTTCGTCATAGTTACGCCAAATATCGAAATAGCCACTACGTGAATCTGGAATATATCCCACAATTTGTAGATTTTGGCTTGCATCCTCAGTCAAATTGAAATCCATTCTTACGACTTTGCGCTTCATGTCAATATAAACGTATCCTGTATTATTTGTTTGCGGCGTATCCCATATTGTTGCGTTAAGACTGTAAATTGGATACTCTAATTTTGGTTTGGCGTATAGTCGTACTGCATGGTAGGGAGAAATACGCTATAATGTATTTAAAAAAAAAATTAAATATGAAACTCTTGTTAAATTATAAATATGAGATTGTTTTCTATACTTACTTCATAATCAACTATTTTATTATTTAAGTCAAGTAAAGCTAAAAATTTGCCATGTTTTATGGGATAAAAATCTCGTTTATAATACGCATATGATTCAGTCTTATAATAAGATGGCTTAGCTGCAGCTGTTCCATTTAAGTTCATTTCAATCTCAGAAGCTTTATGGAAGGCAAATAATTTAAAAGAGTAATTAGTGTATCCCATTTCATGGCGTAAGTCATTAATGGAGGCACCCAACTCTATTAGATGCTCGGGGTCATTTGAATAGTCTATGACCATAGTCGTTTTCAGCAGTTCTTCTATGCCTCGGTAGAATGTACCTTTAAATGTTACATCTTTTTCAAGATAGGGATGACCTACTGTGAATACCACTGTTTGATTATCTCTATCTTTGCGTCGTAATGGCTCCGACTTCCAAAGTAGACCGGTGCGCACAACTTTCTTTTCTGAAGAATTCTCATTCATTGTCCATTTGAAGGCCACATCCGAATTAAATGTGTTGTCTGTTGTGTAATAGTAACCTTCTGTAGACAAGTAACGTTTAGGATAAAAAAGTTCAATCAAAAAGTTCTGCGACTCGTTGCCAACCTTAAAATGTATATATACATATATAGAGTTATTATTTGCTTTAAATATAATATTGTTTGTAGAAGTATCACCTACCGTACTGAAATTTCCAATTTCCACATTGTAACCTATCCAGGCTGTTTTCGATAGTTCTATTTTACTACGTTGCCTTACAGTTTTCTCACCTAATTCTTCATAATTTGTTGTGACTATTACCGTTCTATTTGGATGTATTGCCACAATCTTAAATTCTTGACCCTTTGCCGTCGAAGAACTATGCAATTCTCCGGTCAAATTGAAATTGTTGGTATTACGCAACTCAAATATTTCCACATGCTTTATATCTGAGTAACCATACGGCGTACTTACATCTTTAGTATTAACGTAATGTATCCCTAAGGGCTTCTTTTCATTTTCAAGTGTGATATCAGTTATTTCCGTATAGATGGGATGCTCCTTATGCGCTACACGTTTATATAATCCATCTAATAGCTTGTTGTCATTATATACCACAGTTAGTACACCCTTGTCTTCGTTTTTGTTTTTGTCCAGTCCATATGTTATATCAGCACGATGGTGAGTTGTAATCGGTACTTCCAATTCTATTACTCCTTTTAGATGGTCATTATTATTCTCTGAGTTGTAATGGCTATGCAACTGGAAGTATGCTGAATCTGTCGGCCATGTACCTTTTATGTATCGGTAACTCTCTCCACTTAAAATAAATGAGTAAAAGTATTCGTTAAAGCAGAAATTATTACCAAAAGTTTGTTTTAAAAATTGTTGAAACATAGTTTTAACAAGTCACCCATAATGCAAAAATTTTAATCACCTAAAATACCACTCTTGTGTCAATTATTTTGAATTATTTGAACTCGAATAAAACTTCGAACAAGTTTTAATTTTTTAGTATGGTCTCATTAATTGGTTTAATATGAACCAATCTGAATTTAATATGAAATTTTGTTGGTACTCTAAATATTAAAATGGTTATTTTACATACCTTGTTGTGGTAAAGTTAAAGTCGGCAGATATGTTACTGATGTTAAGGAATGGAGTTATGGAATTAACATGACCATACATATTTGTAAGTGAACTATACGAAATATTTACGTCTCCAATATGACGTGATGCAGGACAGTCGAGTGCACATCTATTTAGCAAAAAAGAGAATATATTTAATAATATTATATGTTATAATAAAACTTTTATAATTTTTACATACACAAACTGATGATTCTCATGTGACATGTCATAATTTCCTTTCAAGAACAAAGTGTTTTCATTTTTATACTTGGGAGTTATTAATTTTGCATAGAATTCGCGTCGCACATCAGGTTTTCGTAGCATCTGGAAATCCCCTGCAACTATAGACAAATCATCAGATACGCCCCATTCGACATGTCCCATTCCCTGCAAGTCCGTGACATTTCGATATGACACCTTTGTAAGGAATCTACGATTTGCTTCTTCAGAATTGTATTTCCCTTCTATAAATAAGTTCGGTTGCAGATTTTTCGGATTAAGAAGGTTTCCGCGATAGCGAGCTCCAATGTGGTGCACGTCACCAACAGGAACGGGCAATTTCGTTACAATGGCAGCCATAATATCATCCATAGAACGGTAATTTGCAGTACCATTCAATTCGAAAATCCATTTCGAATCAACGCTTAATTTACCACCAGTTGAAAGACGAGCAAAACTCCTATCTGGGTTTTGATAATGTATGCTACTGTGAACCACACGTGGTGTATTGTTTGTACGCACAACATAACTTTCAAGTAACAACAAAACGTTTTCTCCTAATATCCAAGACCACTGACAATTTCCACTACCCATATTAGAACCGATGGCATACTCTCCTCGAACATGTCCGGCGGTATCACTTATATCTAAATCAGACCGTAATTTTACTGTCTCTAATCCCAATTCCTTCCATGGGGTTTGCAATGAAATTTCGCTAACTACGTTTCCTGTTCCAGATTTTAAAATTTTGCCATTCAAGTTTATACGTGACAGTTCTGCTTCAGTTGACTCGACTAACAACGAAAAATCTAAGCCAGCTGCAGGACTGTAAGAATAACCACCAGATATTTGACACATTCTACCACTTTCTATAGCACTAAATCGAATCTTTACGCCTTTTGTACTATCGTCATTCTCTGATAAGCTTAGTTCTATAACACCATCACGACCACCCGCCTTCGGCTTAAGCCGAATGCGTGTATCAGTCATATAGTTGTCTCCCATTTTAATGACACCGTTCAAGCTATATGTGGCCATGTTTCGATATAAATGCCCATTGATATTGTACTCATCCATCTTAGTGGGATTCTTTATTATAGTGCCGTGCATTGATATATTTTTGAAATCTTTAATTGGTGTGTACATTTCAACATTGAATACGTCGCGATTTTTACTACCCTTAGCTCCATAACTCATTTTGTAACCATCTTTTCCAATAAATGCTAAATTGAAATTAAGTTGGGGATTTGGAGTTTTCTTAATGAAAACTGTTGTTTCAGCTACTTTAAGAGGTAACATAGTAGTTTTGATCCGTCCGTTTACATGAACAAGTATATCCTGACTGTTGTGCCAGTCAGTGGAAAATTCTAGCTATAGAATGGAAAACAGTAATATATCATAATTTAAAGAACAATACCGTGTTAGCGTTGTTATTTGTACTCACCTTGTTGATTGTTACGTCATCCGTTACTTCGAATTTTAAATCGATTGTATTATCAGCAACTGCGAAGTCTTTCTTGAAATACAACCGGCAACCATAATGAGGTACCACGGTTGTATGAAGCAATATACCAACTGACGTTTCCAGGAAATTCTCTTCTGCCTATAAGTGCATTAACATGAGTAAATATGATAACGAATACATTATCTTTTCTAATCTTATTAAGACAATTATTTATTATTTTCTTTCTATTATGTTTATTTATATAACAAGAAGAGGAAATAATGTGTTGTATAACTCTTACCTCAATAGAAGCACCAAGCGACAAAGTAGTTTCCTGTGTTATCGAAGTAACGTTGCCTCTGTAAATATTATCATCAACTTCAAACCTGCCCGTGATGTCAATTTGCGGTAGTAACGCATAAGGCGTCTTTAGTTTTAAGTAAATATTATGTTCCTTTGGCTTGAGAGTATTATCTGCTTTAGTATAGTTCACTACAAACCCTCCTTCCTTTAACTCATTCATGTCGTTCGACACAATTACACCTACTTTCTCATAAAATGAGGTAAAGTCCAAGTTAACGCGATATTCAACAGTTCCCTTAATTTCATTAGCTACTGGGAATGGTGTTTTCACATTGAGCACATTAAGAACATTAATGTAATCGGGGAAATATAAGCGATTTTTCAGATCAATGCGACCTTGTGGTAAGTCAATGGTCGAAACAAGAATATAAATGTCTAATACTTCTTGTATATCAACTACACCGTTAATAGTAGGCCAAATTAATGTGTCCAATTTAAAATCTACGAAATATGAAAAGAACTCATTATAGTCCATTCGGCTCATGTCATAATCTTCATCCTCTTCAATTAGTATTGGTTTGAAATCATCATCATATAAAAGTTCTAACTCAATTTTGTTGTTTCCAAGCTCTCTAAGCAGATTTGATTTGGGATGGCCATTTATTTTGACACCCGCTTTATAATGAGCTAATTTTGCGTATATATCCATATCAATGAAATAATCGGTCTTTATTAGTTTGATTATGAATCCGATCTCATCAAAACCTGCCAAAGGTGTGAATACAGTATATGAGTATTCAAAGTCGGTTATATTATGCATACGCCAAACACCAGTGAAACCAATTGTGGCATTATTCCAAATACCTCTCAAATCAACTGTGTCTGTTTTTACTTTTGCAATTACTGCAGCTTGCCTAATGCTATCTATAGGAGTAGCAACGCTTAATTTCACATCAAAATTTAACAAAGACCTAATGTCACAAAGTACTTCTGCACCAAGTGCTGCAGTGGGCGCACGAACCTCAGCAACGGCATGACGCTTATGTTCATTAAGACCAAAACGTCCATCAATAAAACGGAACTTTTCTAATGGCGTAGTAATGTTCACAGTTAACATATTGTCCGTCACTTTCTTGATATATCCATCCATTGCCAGAGTGAATTCTCGTATATCAAAATTCAATGACGCAGCCCCACGAATCTCTCGCTGATCACTCATACTAAATTTAGCAGCTAATCCGCCCTTTTGATAACCCTCTAAAGGACTGATTAATAGTATGGTGCCTGATATATTCTGAAATTTAAGGTCTTGATACAACTCCCAGTTAGACTTTAAGGCGTATATAATCATTGTGTCATTAGAGCCGCTATAACGCAAATCCAAATCAGATTGGTATTTCTTTAAATCCTGCCAATGTTGCACTTTAATAAATAATGTGGGTATATCTTTAACAGTGCTACTAACACCGAACTGAACGTCCACACTAACAATTGGATTATCCATAAGGTAATCGCTTTTAAAACTTAATTCAAGATTTTGGTTATCTGCCCACAATAATGAAGTATTTCCCAAAAATAAATTTCCCACATTATAAACACCTGCTCGTATTTTATTTTTCTTCCAGCCGGTAAACGGGGTAGTGAACTCAGCAAAAATATAGTTGTTTAATTCTTTTGTAGGCGAAATGCCAGCATTGTATGAAAACATAATCATTTCATTAACGCTCCAAGAAACTCTAGCCGATCCATAATACTTCGGACCGCCCGTGTAACTTTCAAAGCCACAACTTATCGTTCTGTCTGGATATGTAACCATTAGGTTTCCATCATATTTGCTTTCTGCATTGTTATTGTACTCAGCTAGTAAACCTAATCTTTGCGTTGGATCACGGTTAGCATCCCATTTCAATTCCAATGAAACCTCTTTACGCTTGCTTAATGACAGCAAACCGACTTTTACATGGATATCTCGTAATCTGGAAAATGGAATTCATTTATTAAAAATTTAAGTTGTTTTTATTATTCTTTCATAAAAATAAAATTATTTTAATTTAAATATTTAGCAGTTTGTAATTGAATTTCCACTTAATTATATATATACAGTTATATTATATGTAAATACCAGTAAATAGACAGTTTCAGGATTAATCACGAAACAGCTTTAAAGGTTACAAAAGCTTATATAAGAAGTTTTCTTTAATATAAAATCTACAATAAAGTCTTAAATATCAAAGATCGAATCAAGCTCCTATCAACAGAAATCCGCGTAAAGGTAAAATTCTGATATCTGTTCTCTAAGTAATGTTCTAGAAAAACAACAGTGTCCATATAAAGTTACAGAATTATCCATTTCGTGGCCTGATGTGGCAATATGGTTTCAAAAATGTACATTTTTTTATATACTATATGTAGAATATACGTTAATTCGGTACCCAAACAACAGCGTTTGGATGAGGCTCATTTTTGGATTAGCGAATATACTGTCCATATTGTCGGATCTGAGGTCTATAAGTACAAGTAGCTGTCAGAAGATCATGAACCCGTAAAAAGTAACTTTTTGGTTAGCCGTTTGGACTGGAACTATTTTTTGAGCTAACGGTTGTTTTTGATCGCTATAGCACCTTGTCATAATTTTTTATTTTTTTGATTTCAAATATGAATGTGTGATGTATTAAGTTCTAACATGCCAGCGTCATAAGCCGAAATCAACATAACACGTATTGTTTTGGATGTCTTTCAAGAGACATTTTCTGGAAGTTATTATGCGATTTGGTGACAAACCCTTTTTTTATGCTGCGTAAAGGATCATGCTTAGGCTGAGGTAATATAATGTAATGGTTTATGGATTAGGCGAAGGTCTTTTGGTACTGCGACTAGCTTAATCAATTGTGCACCTGCTTAGGCTGATAATCGTTATTCGCTCGATATTTTGAAGACAAATATTTAACTACTCATAACTGAATTATTGCAAAAGGACCGAGTACTGTAAAATATTCCATGAATGACATTTGAATAATATTTAATTTTATAGCTAATGACAAGGTTCATGCAATGAATTAATATAAAAAGTTGATCAAAATGTCAATCGCATGTATATATTATTTACGTTTACTTTTGGAATTACAAGATGGGTGAGATGGGTGTATAGGTGAGATTGTAAAGTATGAAACTTTAGGTTTAAAACAATATTATATAGATATTAAGTAAAAAATATTTATAAAAGTCGTCATTATAAAAATGTATTCGGCATATAAATGTATTAGGTATTAACTGTAAGTATTATAAACATATCAGATGTTCCACAAAAAGAGACGAACATTACTAAATTGATTAATATTTATTTGTAATACTATTTGTTAAAAATTTCCGATCAGTAAACAACCTTAAGTTAATTTAAAACACGGTTGACAGATAAATTGTTATTAATGTTCTGGAGATTCTCCGTTTCTGTTTGACTTATACTTACTTGTCTACATGTACTTCTAGTTCCAACAGTTTTGGTTGTTCTGATAGCAGCTTTGCATTCATTGAATATTCCTTATCTATTACTTTGAGTCGTAATTCTGTATTCCAGTTTTTGTTATTAGCATTCCCGGCATGTTGAGCTGTTAAGCCATAAGAATCTTTTCCATATTTAGCCTGCGCGTCAGTGAAAATGACGAGTTGATTACGGCGATAAACCAAATTTAGAGATGTGACCTCAAAAGAAGGACTATCGGCAAGAAGTTTAAGCTGATGTAGGGACTGTATACGCGAACTTTTATCCTTATAGTTGCCTCTTATCGATATGGTATGCCCAGTAAACCATGATCCATTTAAAAATATCTGATTGAGTGATAAATTCATATATTAATTTCAATTATAGATCTTTACAACTAAATAATACGTTTACTTTTTTAAAGATGCACTAACCAGGTAATCATTCGGTGTTTTCTCTGTCAGTTTAATTCGTGCTGTGCATGAGTTGAATTCCGGTATACTAATATTCATATATGAATCAACAGCAAACAGACTACGTCGTGGCAAATGTATGGAAAACAAACCTGTCGCTTCTTTTTCTGGTGCATATCGCAAACTAAGAATTACGTTATGCTCCGTGCCATTCTTACTCCTTTCTTCATGCCTTATTGCGATACAAAAAAAAAAATTAATAAATAATAGAAAGGATTTTGCACTCTAATGTAGCTTACTTGGCTAAAATCCGGAAATCCACTTTTGATTTTGGTACCTTCACCTCAAAACTTGCACGAGTCCGAGATCCATCAAAGTTTTGGTCATCCGACAGCGATCGTGCGAATACTATTCTCATGGAACTGGTATGACTTGGATCTATGATATTTGTGGCATTATTGTAAGTTATATAACCTTCCGTGTGACCTTGCAAACTAAGCAAGGTGCCATTTGATGCAAAATTCAGTTTCGGATATGCAGAAGTCTTTAGTTTCACATTTGTTCTATATTCTGTCTTTGATTTATCTCCAGTATTCATCAGTTTCCCCTCGAAACTTATAGTTTCAACTTTGTTAGCTTGAAACTGAAAAAAATTTTAAATTGAGAATTTATTATTAATAGTTGTTTTATATATATAATAAACTGATATATAGTTATCTAATTGTATTTAATTTTTGTCTATAAGTTTCGGTTGTAATTGACATAAAAAAAGAGAAACACAAAGCCACTAATTTTAAAATATGAACGGAATATGATATACAAGATTAAATCTATAACTTGTTTATAATTTTTAGAATAGTGATCACTTTTAGAAAATTAATTTTGGAAAATTTTTAATTTTTGAAAAAATAACACTTTTAAACTGTATTCTGTCGAAAATGGAGCAAAATCTTTATATTCCCAATTAAGCTTACTTAAAGATCTTACATCAACATTTAAAAGATTTAGCCTAGCGAAAATTAAAAAACAAGTTTCTTCTTCTTCCATTGCATTTTTTTACCTAGACTTGTGAATATAAATAACTGGGTAAGTGTTTTTAAATTTGTTGGTATATCCACTTATAATACATCTTGATGGAGATGTTTAATAAAAGCTGTTACTCCACAAATCACCAACAAACCCTTAATATTATTGTGACTAATCGATTATTAAATCTTTTTAAGGCTACGAAGGTCAAAAGCATATCTTATAGCACAAAGACTTCAATTTTGCACAAATATTTGTATATGAAAATCCTATTAGTAAGATGGCTGAAAATTTAACCTCTTATGGACCATAAGCGAATCCATATGTTTCAACTTAATCTAAGAAAATTTTTCATCGATTCTTAACAATAAATCTAATTCTAATAATATAGCGAACTTTATATACATTTTAAAATTTATGAAAAAAGTAAAGAACATAATTATCACATGTGTTATCTTCAAAAGGACATATAGTTACTGTCGAATATTTTTTTCAACTAATGACCATCGCGTGATCATCGATGATATGTGGAAAAACCAGCAGCATTTTATGAAGATTGGAAAATTTAATTGAATTGGCAGGCTGTTTTACCTTTATCTACAATATACTCTTCAGGTTTAGCTGCAAAAGCTATTTTCATGTTTCCAGACCCACGATAATGCATCGAAGAGTTATTAAGATCTGAGAATAATAACAAAACAGTTTTGAACGGATCAAAAAGAATTTTTTTTTTGCTGGAAAAAAAACACTCGTACTACTAATATGAGAAAAAACAAATCAAGACAGCTTTAAAGAAAAAAGGGAAGTTAAGGATGTGTGTTAATACTATTGACTATATAACATATTATAAACAGAGATACCAAAACTTTTTTGAAGGTTTTACTTACCCTGTAATTTATGCTCATATTTGTGGACGTTGTTACTTCACTTTGTATAACATTTCCACGAATCAATGCTTGCAACTTTCTTGTTTCAAAAGATAGGTCAATATCATTTTGTGTAATACCATTCTTTTCATTTATGCGTACGGTTCCAACCAGGCCCGTAATATTAACTCCATTAACAGCCAACAACATTTTCGGCCTATAAAAAACTGTTGATCGATCCTGCTCTCGTTTTAAATTCATATTCACACTTAAACTCCGGTTCCCATTTGTGTCGAAGAAAAAATCAAGTTTTCGGTCATTAGGATCGCCGTCGTAACTGCAACCAGCAGCTGCAGTAGTTTTCCCATTTATATAAGTAACTGAAGCATTAAAAACGTCTGGTATATTAGTAACATTTGCAACTAAAAGTCGTTTGAGTGTGGAGCCTGGTGTATGAAAAACTAAGGACCAATTGGAATTGTTATCAACTTGTTCTCTTTCGTATTCAAAAGCAAATTTCTTAGCACTAGGATCTGATTTCGATAAAATTAAACTAAAATTAAGCGGCCCACTTAGCAGTAATCCCGGATAAATTGTCTTAGAGTTGTGACTTAAGTCAGGAACACTATAATAAGAACACATTTTTAAACCAATTGCATCATCGAGTACAGGCCAAGTGCATGTTATATTAGACCGTCGATTCTCAATGCCAGTCTGAGGTACTTCTGTGCTATCAATCATTACCAAGAGTTCGGACTGTGCACTAAATATTTCATTTGTATTTTGTGGCAAACTGAAGGAAAATGAAACCATATCTTTTCCACGCATTTTTAACTTAGCTTCAATTTCAGAATTTGTGTATAGGTTACTCTTAACTTTAATACCTGAGACATCGTAAAACATATCTGTTTGCATTGTTGTTGTTACATCTACTGAAACTGAAGGCTTGAATTTTCCTTCCATATCGAAATAGTAATCACTTAAAGGTTCAGTTCTTTCCATATTGCCAGAGATTCGCAAATCTACAGACGAAGCTCCAAACGCATGTATTGCTAGCGGTAATCCTATCGCAAGTGGCACACTATATGAAGCGTCAAGGAATACCCTCGACTTACTATATGTTACTTCTTTTCCAGAGAGGATTTTTGAAGCCTGGAAGAACGGATCAAATTCTTTAAATTTTTCCATTACTTCTAGCAAGCCATCCGACGTATAATAGAGTAAATCGTTGCCAAAAATTCTTATTCCAATTTCAGAGCGCGGATTATTGTAATCGTATTTAAGTTTATAGCCAAGATTGTTGACATCATCTTTTAAATTCTGTTTATATGTCTCGTATCCATTTTCAGCACGTTTAAAACGATTTTCAGATTTATGATCGGTGGTATAATCTGAATTGGTCTCAAAGCTATAATCATAATCTTGATCTTCAGTTGTTGTATTTTCTTTATCAGTCTCACTCTTAGTACCACGTTTCAGTCGTAAGTTATCTAAATTGAAGAAGTTTTCCAATGTGTCTACATAATTATATAAAAAGAAAATAAAGTTTAAATGCTCAAACTTTTATAAGTTTTTAAATAATATGCGTACCATCTTCAGATGTATCAGTACCTAACCATCTGTTTAGAAATGATAATTTCTTTCTGAATAATTCGCGATTAAAAGGACCTTTAGGACCAAATGCCGATTTAGCCAATTCCTCAAAACCTTCTGCCCTAGCAGACAATTCAAAGAAATTTACAGATTGTCCGAAAAGGTCTGCCGTAAAATTGAGAGTTACCATTCTCGGAATATAAGACTCAGAGCCGAAAATTACATTCATATCAGTTGTAGTGCCTTTTTAAATAAAATACATTTAAAATATATATACTTAATGTTCACATTTATCTTACCGCAATTATATTCATCAAAAAACAGGCTGTGTTCAAAGTTGCGTGAAAATTTTCGAATATCCAGTTTAAATTTATCAGACAAGTCATCATTAAGTAGCAGGCCCTGCGCTTCAATTTTTACAGGTGATGAAGATTTAGCCAAATTTTTCAAATGGGACCATACAAACGATCCGACTTGATTGACTTGCTCATTTTCCAAAATCGTTTTTATAGCATTTATGGAGTGATAGTCTGGACATATCATTGCTTGCAGATAGCTGAAAATACGCACCTCCGAATTAATTGTGTAATTGGCATAGGTCTCAAAAAAGAATGTCCGATATTTGATACAATTCGATCGTCTAAATGCAAATACAGATTCTATACGTAGACCCACCGGTGCAATATCTTCAACAATAATTTCCTGAAGATATTTTGCAAAAGAGTCCGATATGATGCCCATATTTCCTAAACCCTTAAGAATCACTTTCATGCGGTCCCTGGAACGCCGTTCACCTTTATACATATTGAATAAGCTCAGAAATTCGTCCTCGAACAATTTTATTATTCGCTTTATTTTGGTATTTTCAGCGCAATTTTTATTATGCTTGCAATAGCTATGCACGACAGCAGAGGCGCCTAAGGTATATTCTGGTTCTATTTTCTTACGTGAAAACTCCAATATCGTATAAAATGTCTCCAACGTTTCTTCATCTGGACGCTGTATAAATGATAGTGAGATCATCCAGTTATGCGCTAATGATTTCGATATTGCATTTGCTACAATCTCATCACGCATTACTTGATAAGAAGCGGTGCTACCAATATAGGGTAATGACTCCAGTACATGATATCTAGTCAAAAATATTACGATATATTAAATGTGAAAATAACATATAAAACAATACTGGCCTATTGCTGTTGTGTAAAAGATACAAAAGAACTAAAGAACGTCTTGAACTAAAAACATGTACTCCAAGAAGTTAGTAAACATCATTCAGTTCGGATCAACTGAGACAGTACATAGTTTTATTGAAAGGTTCTAACTTAAGCCGTTACTGAATTAAAATAGTTTTTCTTTTGTAACTCTTAAACACAGTTAGGACTTTTGCAGTATGCAGCATTATATTAATTGTTTATATTCAAACTTCTAAATATGATCAATAATAAATTTATTTTTGCTTACTTTCCATTTTCGCAAATGCTGGCTGCCCGTGCTATTAACTGCGATAAGGCCTTGTAATCTAAATTCTTCGCAGTTTGTAAAAACTGGGTAAAATATTTTGAAAATTCCTTGCGTATGTTAGGAAAACCAACTGCACACATTTCCTTGAGGAGATCTCTCGCTGCTTTAATTTCGCCATGTGTCGGTTTTACAGATGGCGTGTGATCAAACAGGAGCGTATCACGCACTTCAATAATCTCATCATCTAATAAAAAGCAGAAAATTAGTTAACTGATTCTTTATATTTTACTACAAAAGATCTTACAATCAGCCAAAAACTCTCCGCTGCTATATGACTCTTCCCCTTTCAGTTGTAGACGTGAACTAGTTGTAGTGACAGCACCAGTGCTACTGTTTGAGAAAGGAATTAATTGATGTCTTTCATAGCAGCTGATTTCCCGATATAAATTGTGATCAATCGTCATCTATTTAAATAACTCATTCAGCTCTTCTGAGCAGATAAATATACTTTAATACTTACATTACAATAGCTTTCTGAACTTAATATCGGCCAAATTGTCTTGTCCTCTCGAAATGTGTAAGGAGTTGTTTGCAATATAGAATGCGTGGAATAACGATTACGGCAGTTCGCTATATTCTTAACTTTACGAATCTTTACAAACACATCATCTGTGCTTTCTAGGGAATATTGCACATTGCAAGTACCAGATACGTCTGTTTCAGTAGTATTGAAATCTACATCAAATCTCATCATTGTGTTTTGAAATGCACTCAAGATGCCCTTTTTGAAATTCAAAACCCAGGCAGGTTCATTTTCATTAGGACACACCTCACTTATGAGGCCATCGTGGAATGCAAAACGTAATATATTCTTTTTAATATCAGCTGCTAATTCCTTGCTTTTGGGATGTATTTCACCAATTTTTCCTGACTCATTTTCCGCAGATGCTTCATTAAATTCACCATAATAATCAAAATCTTCACTGGAAGATGAACTCTTGTTATCATCAGTTGATTCTTTGTTCCATAATTTAACGTCATTTATTCGAAGGAATCCTTCACATTGTTTTGGAAAAAACAAATCCAAATTTGTTAGGAGAAATAAGTCAGAGCTGTTTTCACCAGTACCCGAGAATTCGGTACGTAAATCGATTGCGTAGTCATATTTGTAGATAGCGTCACTGAAACTGAATTTTGGCGCTGAATGTTCACACTGTGGCCTGCCACAAATTTTTGGATTCTTCAGGGGATCTATAAAACAAATTCAAAATTACTCATTAATGAAACTGTGTCCAGGCACAAAGATAGCGCAAATGCATTGGCATTCCACGACTTATATTCATATATGTGGGAATTCAGATGCATTATACATTGTGACCGAAAGGTTTTCGGAAGTTCTCATTTAAAATTCGCGCGCTGTATATTTTTCGATATTTTAAGTTTATGTAGTTTGGCAGCACTGTCCTTAATTACTATGCCAAAAATGAGCGCGATCTGTAAGACAGTTCGTTTAAGGCAGCTGTTGAAACCAGTTCCCCTCAGTAGTGCGTTGCGAAAAAACAATGGAAAAAAATATTGAACAAAGAGTTTGCATCAAATTTTGTGTTTCGAACGAAATTTCGTGTGCAGAATCGTTGCGAATGCTACAAAAGGCTTATGGGTAATCAGTTTTATCGAAAACTCAAGTTTATGAGTGGTACAAAGCCTTTCAGGACGGTCGTACGACCGTCGAAGACATGCCGCGTTCTGGACGACCTTCGGCCTCTACCACCGACGAAAACATTGAAAAGGCAAAGGAAATCGTGTTCCAAAATCCTCATGTGAGTGTTAGAGAGATAGCACGAGAGCTAGGCATCGGTCGTGAGAGCTATCCGCCGTAAACGGCCTCAATTGTGGAAGGATAATTCATGGATTTTTCATGACGATAATGCTCCCTCGCACCGAGCCAACATTATCAACGATTTTAAGGCCAAACATTCAATAAATACCATCAAACAGCCACCGTATTCACCTGATCTTGCACCGTGTGACTTTTTCCTGTTTCCCAAACTCAAATTACCACTCAGAGGAACGCGTTTTGAATCCATAGAAGACGAAAAACAGAATTCGCAGAGGGAACTCAAAGCCATACCGGAAAGCGCCTATAAAAAATTTTTTGATGATTGGAAGAAACGTTGGCATTTGTGTATCGCTTCTAATGGAGCATATTTTGAAGGAGATAAAATAAATATTGATGAAGATTAAGAATTTTGCGTTTGTACATTGTGACCGGAAACTTTTCGGTCACAATGTACACTACTTATACACTTATACATAACATACACAGTTTTTTTAAAAGTTGCAAATTTCATATCTTTAGTAAACTTGCAATTAATAAATAGAAACGAAACGAAGAAAAATAAACGTTTTCACCTTAGACTTGCTTCTCCAAATTCTTCTCCTTCTCTCTTAATGTAAGTGGTTTTCAGATATTACTTAAAAACATCCAGTAGAAAAAAAAAATTTCGAAAAATTTCTCTTTATTGCAGGAAAAAATATTAATTTAGGGAAAGTTTACCTATTTATTAGTAGATGTTTTATATAAACAAATTTATTTACTTTATATATCTTATGTATTATTATATGGGTATATGGGTATTATATATGGGTATATATATATTATATATATGGTATATGGGGAAATATTGAAATACATGTTTTTATTATCATCTGGTAGATAATTTGATGGCATTTATTTTTTGAATATGATATCCGTCGTGACTATAAGTTACATGGTACATTTGTTTAGTTAAATTTTTGATTTTTTTTTTTTTGACGGAAATACATGTGGTCTTATGGCGTCAATTGTGGAATGAACATTGACTTCCAATGCGTCAAGAGTTACTGGTTTGTCGGTTGTCGACATAAATCAATGACTTAAAATAAACTCGTCTCCATAATTTTTGGATATTTATTAAAAAAAATTCAGTCAGCATTTACCGTAACATCAGCTCCTAACTTCTTCCTCATTTGGAAAGAAATAAGGACCGATGATTTCGTCAGCATGTAAACCGCGCCAAACAGTCAATTTTTATGGATGTAATAAAGAATCGTTAATGGCTTGAAAATTATCTTTGCTTCATTTACGGCAAATTTGTTTATTGACGTAGCGCACTAGGCCGATTATATTGACCATAAAATAGACGAAGCACTCTATGAACTTTGTGAACAGATTTATTTTTTTCATAGTAATTTTCCACAATTTGGAGGCATTGTTCTAGCGTTAAACAATGCTAGATTCATGCTGAATTGGCAAATCTTAATGAACAGATATGACAACACAGTTTGACATTCTCAGTTGTTAAAACATAGTTATCGCTAGCAATAGTTCTCATGCAGCTTAAAAAATACCCTATATTTATCTGATATATCTCTTAAATAATATTTTGTTTGACGTCTTAAAAGCTTCATATTTCAACGTTGTTACAGAGACCCAGATGTATAAGAGACAAATGTGCTACATATTTGAGCTCAGCAACCCTGAGTTGCAATAAACCATTCAAAAATCAAACAACAAAATTTAGTAAACTGAAAACTGGAAAAAGTCCATAAAATATGAATTTTAAATTGAATTTTTTTTATTAATTTCCCGTTGTTACATTTAATGAGAGAAGAGGCTTTACTTTCTCTTAAAAATTATTATTTTGTGGTGACAAACGAAGTCTAAACACAACAGTTGATTTTTAAAGTCATTTAATCGGTTTAAATACGACTTAAGTGTTGTAAAGAGCGTCATGTTTCTATCGTTTAAACACGTTTTAAACATAAACTAGTTTAAACATATTGCCGTACTTGTTAGAAATCTTTATTGTTTTTGATATACCATTTTAAAAATGGGCTCGGTACACACTACAGTATACGGCACTCTACCGCTAGAGCGGTGAATAATATACGTAACTCCACGTCACAGTCCCGCTGCTTAACGTACTTTTAGTACGTACTTTTATTAGCGTTTGAATTGAACATCCTAATAAATTAAATTACGAAGAAATATGTTTAATGGAATTTTAGGCATAACTAATATGTTGAAATGTAAAAGATAACGAAATTGAAACTATTTTGTAAAAATCAATACATATTAATCAAAACAATATTAAACAGCTACAAATTAGAGAGATGTATTAGTTGTTTACTTTGTCATTTTTTAAAAAAATTTCTATCTGAATTTTTAATTAAAAAAAATTTTTTGTAATCCATTAGGTAAGGATATTGTGAATGGACTACAAATGGTCTCTTAAGACGATACAAATAATCTTAATTTTGATTGTAATTTTATTGATTCGGCTTACATCGCAAAAAACCTATTCACACAACAAAGCTAACTAGGTTATACTGGATTCACACGACAGCTTTGTTTGTAATTTTAGCTGTCATGTTTGTGATCTTAGTCACTCTACAAAAAGTCACATGCTCTTTATTTAAGCTAAATAATAATAATAGTATTTCTCAATGCAATGAAGTGAAATAGTTACCATTTATATTGATAGAAGGTTAATGACTTGGTGATAAATTCCAAGTCTGCAGTCAGCCTCAAAAATAAAGTAATGCTATACGATGTCATGATCAAATCAATCTGGATGTATGGTGTAGAGCTTTGAGGTACCACGTGCAATTTCAATGTAGAAAAATTGCAAAGATTATAAAACAAAATCATCGGGCAGATTGTAAGAGCTCCGTGATATCTGAAAAACTCCATTATTCAAAAGGATCTCATTATACCCAAAGTCATGTCATTCAAACTTGTATTACGAAGTATTTTTTCAAACTGAAAACACATTCAAACATTCAACAGCTTATCACCAACAGCTGTTAGTAGGAAACGGCTGTTGAACCCGCAACAAATATGTAATATAAACTACCATTTATATAAACTATTAAAAATTTGACCTCGCTACATGCTTTAGCGTAACAACTGACTTCAATAATTAAATCTTCACTTCTTTCATCTTACACCTCAGTTTTCACAACAGAAAACTAATAGCCATCTACGAAGCCCTTACTAAATCCAAAAATTAGAAAGACTCTTTTACAATTTGCACCGATTCCATGTCCGCAATCCAGTATGTAACCAACTTAGTTAATCTGAACTTTTATACAGTTGCTATCAGAAATATCATTATCTCTAACCGCATTCTGGGATACTAGGCAATGAACTAGCCGATGAAGCAGTAAAAAGTGCCTGAAAATACCCGTTTATACTTACTGAAAATCGTAATAGCTCAGATCCCTCCAGTTATATAGATACCAATTTTAAAAGCAAATTGTCAGAAATTTTTGACGACTCGTCCTCTCATTATAAATATATTAACTTTAATAAAACTTCCATTCTCAATTTCACCCCTCGTAAACATGATCATAAATTCCTACGCGCATTCCTCACCAAATACATTTGATTAAGACTAGGACATACCAGTTTAACTCACTCACACTTATTCAATAGATCACCATCATCCTCCTATACGTGTCGCAACATTTTACATTCAATACAATATATACTAATCGAATGCCTGCATATCTCGAAAAACAGAAATACCATATTTTGAAACATAAACCTGATCAACCTATTAGTAGACCCCTCAAAATCAAACATTCTGCTTATAATTAAGTATCTGTTGGTCTGTTGGTTTATACTCCCAAATATAACTTAAAAAAAATATATATGTGTACCTTATGTGTATCTGGGTCTCCATCAAAAAATAAAAATAAAAAATGTATAAAACAAGGTTCTTAAGCCCCGAACATATGCTCATCCTAGCTCCAAACTATAATACCCTTCTTTCTTTTTAAAATAAGTAAGCTTGAGGCCAACGCCAAGTTATTAAATAAATATAAAAATACAATTTTTTTTATTAATACCTTAAAGCATAATCTGTTTAATAAGTATTCAAAAAAAGTTTTTAAGATTTGATATTAATTATTGTTAATTTCATTCAAAAAGAATTAATAAAGCATATAATTGAAAAAAAATGCTAGTGATTTTAGCTGTCAATTGTTGTTGCTTTCAATGCAAAATGAACATTTTTGACAGCTAAAATTACAAACAAAACTCTCGTTTGAATCTAGTATCAGACCAAGGCACAATTTTAAAAATTAAAAATTAATATTTTAAATTACTTTTGTAAATTAATTTTAACATTTCATATAATAGTTTCGTACATAAAAATAAAAGAGCAACAAAACAAAACCAATTATTTAATACATATAATCAATAATGTTCCTCTCAATATCTTTTACTATTCTAGCAGTTATGAAATTGATTTTACTAAAAAAACATCTCTACATTTAAATTCGGAAATAATACCCTGTCACATAAAACTGTCTGGACATATACATATCCATACCTCTGCTAGCGGATCATCACTCTACTTTAAGGGGAAAGAGAACCCGACTCCAAAAAGTCGCTATATGCAACATTTCTTAAAGATAAACTAACAGCAAATCCGTTTTAGATCCGTTTTAGATAAATTTAGATCTTAACATAGATTAATTTGGAATGAGAACGGATACTGGATATAAAGCAGAAAATATGTATAATATATATATATATAAAATAACGAAAGATGTGAATGATTAAGGGGGAAGAATGTAATGCTGCAAAGATGAATTTTAAAGAAATGTTTGCAAAATATTTTAAAAGTTTATTGGCTCTCCAAAATAAGTTTATAGAAAAAGAGAATTTCAAATTAAATTTTTTTGTTTAATAAAATATTCTATTCTAAATTATTGCATTATCTCAATACTTCAGTTGTGTACCCCAATATTTTTATTTCAAACATTTATTGGACTCTTCGAGGCAAGTTAACCACAGTTCTCTCTGCATACACTACGCCATAAACGAATTCGTATTATTTTAGTAATACCTGTATTGAAGTTTAGACTATATTCAAGATTTATGAAGCTTAGTTTATAAATAATAGAACACAGAAATGTACTCATTACTATTTGAGACCGACATCTCAGTGGATCATGTAGGATACGTTTTGTATATTTAATTGAAATCTTTCACGTATATTAAGTTAAGATAGGAAGTTCCAAAGCAACTTTGTAAACTTTTATTTATCAATTAAAGTCTCTGTCTCTAATGCAATCATTTTAACAGGCCTATAACATTTCTATGTCTTTATTGCAGAACTATGTATCCCTTATTTTAAAAAAGCGGTTTGCCTTAAATATAAAAACATTGTTGGAGTAGAATCTCTTTAACTATTGCATGTTTTCAAGATCTACGAACAGGTGTTGGTCGCTAATGTGATTAATAGAATAGTTAAGAAAGCAATAAAGAACATAGTTGGGCATCGTAACCAATGACTTATAGCCCAGTCTATATATTGTCTATATATTATTCTTTTAACATAATTATAATCCAATGGAATAATTGGCTTTTTTTATATCAATTTCTTTGGCTAAATATTTCAAGAAGATCATACCATACGAAAGTCATAACAATGTTGCGCAAAATGTTTATTTTGATCAAATTGAACAAGTTACCTCGGCTTCACTCCATTTAGTTTACTAGTACTTTGTATCCGAGTTTTAGTGTTGGATACAGATGTTATCCATATATACAAACCGGTGCAAAAATTCGTGTTTATAATATTTAATTCTCCAAACAGAGCTCAAAATAATCAATATGTTGCGAACAAATGTGTCGCTTAGTTTCAAAACCAACTTTCGGCAATATTCGGAAAAAAATGTTTAGACTCTCTTCTCATATCCGTTAGATGGCAATTATCACTTTTCGATATTAGAAAATGATTTTGTGAACTTTTAGATCTTTTCTGGAATAGTCACTGAACACTCGGTGTCTACGAAATCTACAAAGATACGATTCTGCTTAGCAAAGTCTTAATAACTCTTTAGAAGCTACTGTACGGTCTACACCGTATAATTTTTTTCATTAAAAAACAATCTTTAAACAACATCCAAAATTATTTTTAATGTTTAAAATTAACTTTCAATTAATTGAACTTATGTTTCCATATAAAGCTGAAGTCTATAAGCTCGTTCTAATTTCAAGCATGACAAGTGCTTTGGTTAGTGGAACTGAAGCATTGAAATTTTGTGCAACCTTGGCTACAAGATTAAAACACTGATTTGACAGACATGAGTTTTAAGCCCGGTACTTGCAATCCAAACAAATTATATACGAACAATAAACTAATTAAAAATAAATTCGAATATTTGCTTAAACCACTGATGATGAGTACTTGGCAATAATCGAAAGAACGTTGTATGTTCAGTCAAATTTCAATAAGTTAATTAAAATTTTTGTTGTTGTACTTTCATTTCTATTCGAACCCTTCTAAAGTTATTTTTCTTTTATTTTGTTGCAAATACTTAAAGTAGTGTTCATATTAAATTCCGATATATGTCATCTAGAAATTGTTTCTTTCTAAAAATCGAATGTATTTTCTAGAAGCAGTATTGCTTGATAATTAGTCTCGGGACAAATTTCGTGATGTGTTAGCAACAAATTTTTTTTGATAATAAAATCAGTATTTTGTTATAATCAGCAAAATTGGAATATAATTTTAATTAATCAATTACAATTGAAATTAAAACAATTTTTTTTGATTATACTTACTTTGTCGTACTGCATCTGTCAAACTGAGGCTTGATGTGACCAGAAGAACTGCAAATAATGTACAGCTATACTTTTTAGCGAAACTGTTTTTTAAACGAAAATATCCAAGATGACTTAAAAATTTCATTTTAAAAGTCCTTTATTTTGCGCTTATTTGCACACTATTTGTAAAGAAATGATGACACCCTGTAAATCCTTTGTATTATTTATTTAATTTTTTGTTTAATTTTATAACTAATTTTATTTAATAATTTTTAATGCTCTAACTTGCACTGTTAGCAGTGCAGATAGCAATTAATTTGAAAGCACCATTAATACCCGACCGTTTAAGTGGCGAACCCGCACTGCTCCTCACTGACTAAAATCTTAAATATAACTTTCGCCAGCATCCGCACACGCTGGCTTCCCGATAACTTCTGATGAAGCGGCCTGCTTTCTAGCTGTTGCGAGATTGGCTTCTGCTGTTTCAGATTCGCTCTTCCTATCTATTATCTACTAAAATTGCTGATACTTCGAATACTGCTGACGCTGGCGATTGTATTCGTCTGTATGTTTGTATGTTAATCTATCTATCAGCTCACTGATAACGTTGCTAGTTTTATTATTTTATTCCTTTTCATTACAAAAAATTCTGTTTTCAAATATAATAGAAATTACAGATGAAATCGTTTCAAATATCTTGAAGCTGGTCAATGGGTGGGTTGGACAGTTGGGTTGAGAGGTTGTTTCATTATTTTATTTTGTTGATAACAGCGAAACAATACTTGAAAACATGACGAGAAAAAAGCAAAATAATGTTTAGTTCGAATGGAGCATCTAACAATGGAATTCATTTGAATGACTGTTTCGAAAAGAAAGTTAATAAAAGCTGATATGGTGTGTCTAAATTGGCACAAAATACAAACTACATATTTTCATAGTCAGACAAATTTTCACTTGATTGATGCACTTGATTGATATCATTAAAAAGTGAAACAAACTTCGATTAAAAATATACAAAAAGCCTTTCATTGCGTAGATGCAGATATGCTATATCATATAGAGCATATATGATCCATTTTTTCTTCTACTATTACATATTTATGTTATATGCAACTATTGGTACTTCACTTTGCAAAAGGGTATATAGAAACTGTAATCCTTACTTAATAAATATATAACCAATAAAACTATTTGAATTTTAAAAAATTCTTTAAATAATGTAAACTATTGCATGGTCCTATTGAAGCACCATCAACTTAGTGATATATATCAAACAAAACTATCATCCAACGCATTATATGTCTTGGTTAGAATTTGCTATTTTATAATTATAGACCACTTAATCAATATTATACTTATTAAAATTGTGAAAACGTCGAAAAATCCAAAAAAAAAAAAATAAATAGAATTAAGTAGCGAAAATACACATATAGCTGTCAAAAGATTATGGCATACACAAAAAGTCACTGTATTGTGAGGAATTTGATCTGTAGATAGGTTGGGCCTGCATTTTTTTCTCTGAAAGTGACGAATATGTGACTTAAAAAGTCAATTCTTGTCGCTACAATCTATTTATTAGCAATTTTGGTTTGAAGCAAACACAACAGTTGTAGAAGATATATATTGTCAACACAACGGTGTCAAAAGATTTAAATTTTCAAAATGTCAGTTCTGATCGCTACAATATTATGATTACCAATAATTATTGTTGTAAGTTGAAAAAAATCTCTTTGACAGATATTTGATTTCAATAGAATAGTACATTTTGTCAAACGCCCATCAAGTTATAATCATGTCATTGTTAACTATGTGCCGACAAGTTGTCTAAGACTACCTTCAAAGGATCCAGTAATGTAAAATGCCTCTTAGTGGACATATAAATGATATTGTAGGTATTTCATATTTAGTTCCAAAGAATTGAAATAAACATTTTATTGAAATCTCAATCTCGCGTTTTATTTACATTTGCTTCCAGAACCATATAATAGATAACCCAGCAATTTTTTAACAAATAAGACAATTCTATAATAATGTACAAAGAATATGTGACAATTTCATGCTTGATATAGAAGATTTATATATAGATTAGATATATTATAATGAAAATCTTATTATCAGTTCTGCAGTATTGTAAATTCTTATATATTTTAAGTTAATCGCGACACAATCGAGTGATATAACTGATATATCTAATTAATAACACTGTGCGATACTTAATACTTAAAATTTTTGATTTTTATTTTATAGTCTTACTTTAATTTGGGGGTGTTGAGTTCAAATTTTTAATTTTCTCAGACATCATGATCCCTTTCAATAATAAGTATAATGTGTAGCATGGCGGCGACTCTAAACATTAATGGCCCGTTTCCTTGAGAATCTTATTCAATTACAAGACCTCCAACTAAACAGCTTTATAAAGCTGGGTGGTTTTAAATTCTAAGTGTCTTCATTATACGGTAGAAGAATGGACCAATAGTCCTAAGTGGACGCCGGTATAACCCAACCTATCGTACATATCAGCTTAGTAAAAGCAGGTATATAAGTATAAGAAAACCAATAATTTGGTCAAGAAAATTTATTTTTAATATCCAAGCTGAAAGTGCTCGTTTTCTTATTTAGTTATAAAATTGTTTATTTTGTAATTAATTACAATAAATAAATAAATAAATTATTGTAGTGTGAATGTCACATCAACATCTTTATCTCAATAAATTATTATAATTTATTAGTTCTTAGTTTGAATACTATTTATGGATGTTTTTAACTAGAATATAAAGTATCTAAAAGCAAACTTATTAAGACAATGTCTGTGTAAAGTATAATGAAGTAATAATATTGTCAGACAAACAATTTCTAGAAGTAAATATATTAGACAAATCCGATATACATCGAATTTCTGAGTCTAAAATTATTTAATAATTTTTTTTGGTAAATTTACTACCTAGTCACAGATACCTATCACTGTTAACATCTGATAATACAATACCAAAATAATACTCGTATATAATACAATTTTAACCATTTACAATCGTTAAATCAATTATTATAAACTGCAATGTAGGTATATGACGATCAAATAAGTATAATATGTAGTTCCTTTTCAGCATTATTTTTTACAGATTTTCACCAAAATTAGCTTTTGTATTTGGTGTTATATGGCAAATCATCAGAGAGAAATACCATACACAGCTCCTGAGTAAAGTAAATGTTAAAAATTCTTTTAAGCAAAATTTATATATTCGAGGCTACATATTCGCCTTCAAAGCTTATTATTCGTATTTAATTTAAAAAGTAAGTCGAATATCATTGATGAGTTTAAATTGTGAAGAATCCAATAGGTTAAAATCATATAGTTTTTCTAAAATTCTGAAAATATCGATGCTCGATCAAGGATTAGATGATCCTTGATCAAGAACTTGTACTTTCTTATGGGGTCACATAGAATATTTTCCATAAAGAGTTTTGTTTCGAGAAGTACAAAATTCAGTTTATCTAAGTACTAACACCAATTTATAATTTATTGCGTAAAAGCTTTACAGATGGGTCTTATCAATACATTGAAATCCATCCATTATTTCTGGAAAAAATATCTTTAAGGATAAAGGTAATATTTGGTTAAATAAGTTGTAAATATAAACAAAATTGTTCCATTTGGAATGAAGTCTAGGACAAAAACGGGTTGAGAATTTTAACTCCGAGGACCCAAATTAACCTAAGGCAAAACCTTAAGAAAAAATCAAGAAAAAAAAAAAAAAATAAAACAAAATAATAAAATAATACGATTTTATTGCACAGTGCAATCGACCATCGAACGAGTGACAATAAGAGAAAACCTCATCTTTTCAAAAGATTATACAAAATTTACAAAAGAAAGAGTAATAATTTTAAGACTATAAATTTTTTTACTCTGGGAGAAGCCTTATATATCAATAGAACAAGGAGTGATAGTGAAAAAATTTCAAACACAAAAATCAATCGAGTAACAATCGGGCTGATCGTAGGGCTTTCTGTAAGACGGACTACCACTTGTACTGACTTATCATATACTGATCATACAGCTATTTTATATGCTAGATATATGGATGATGGGTTTGGATATCCATTATCAGTAAAATTTGAAAACGTCTATTGCATAAATTCTCCGTTAATAATTTATTGGACTACAAATGTGAGGAATACTATCAAATTTGAACTGTGACCTCACATGCAAAATCAAATTACACTTTATTTAAGTTATTGATCAACTTTTGTGGTTAATTCGCAAATAGCAATAAAACTTGCTGTGCCGTTCTTAAAACAAATACATAAACTACAGCTACATAAATTTAATTAACTATAATAAATTGTTTGTTTTTTGTTATACTAATTTTTACACTATTAGTTGTAAAAAGCATATCTACATATAATACTTGTTGTTTACTATGGTTATCTTGACGTCCAATTTTACAATTCAAACTTTAGTTAAGTAAACTTTAGATGTTTGATATTGGCCACTAAAGTAATACTTATGTACTTAAAATTCGAACATATGTCTTTTAAGTATGAAATCGAAACTAAAGAGGGCATTTTAAAAATAGTCCTTGGAATTATTGAACCCCTTTAGTATATTTCTGTATGGATTTTGTATACATTTTGTATGAAAAATTGCACAAATGTTACATATTTGTCGAGTTCAGTACAATAATCTAAACCTAGCATTAGATTGCTATGTTCAGATTGCTATGTTAAGATTGTTAAGCTAAAAAGACACAAGATAGAAGATCTTGTGAGACAAGATAGAGTTGTTATCGGTTATCTTATCAAGATTACACAAACTCCGTATATATGGAGACTCAAAGCAAACGAAACATACCAACTTCTTATACACGAACGGAAAGTATTAAGAAAGATTTTTGGTCCAATATGTCTAAATGATAACACATATCATATTCGCTACAATCTCGAATTAGAGAACTTAATCGAGAAGCAGATTGTAATATTATATATACAATCACAACAACTAAGATGGTTAGGAAATGTTCACCGTATTAGTCGAGAACGATTAGTAAACCAGGCACTTGTAAGAAACCTGATAGGATCCTGAAGAAAAAGGCAGACCTAGAAAGTGGTGGCTAGATGATATTAACATGTTTAATGAAGCTACGCGTGAGTGATTGGAAAAACTTGGTATTGAATCAAGTCAGATGTTAAAAATTTGTTAAAGAAGCACTAGTCTACTCAGTACTGTTATGGTAAGAAAGAGAAGAATAAGAAGCATTACATTTATATATTCTATTCTTTTTCAAATCCAAAAGGGGGAAACAGTAAGGAAATATTTCAAAATTATTAAAAAATAATCCAATTTATCTGTTATTTTCATTTAATAATAATCCAACATATCGTAAATAGCATATTGAACTGTTTCAAAGGCAATAAAATATTGTATTAAAAATTTAAAAATAGTTTTCATT